TCCCCATTTGCCGAGTATAAGAGTGCTTCCTAGCCTACCTTTTTAGTCTGATTTTGTAAAGAAAACAGACAGGAACCTTTACCCAGCCTCTGCCTCAGCCCAAATGAAAACCAGCCTCTAAAGGTGCCATGTAACTGACCTCAAGCAATCACAAAGAGAAACAATAACTACCTCAAACAATCGTAAAGAAAAGAAAGACTTGTTTTTCAGTTTTTCTTTTTCCCTTCAACAAAAATAAGTAAATATTGGAAGAGAATTGGAGGAAGCAGAGATACCACTAAATAAATGCAGCTTCCTTAAATTTTCCAAAAGGAAACTACGTGTGTGTGAGTTTCCCACAGGCTGGAGGAACCAGACCAAGTGTGTTTTGAAGTTATACTAACTTTAAATATATACAGTACTAATGAAATACTGAAGGTAGTTAAATGCTAATTAAGGACTGCACAATAGTTAGACCCTGCATTTAAATCCAAATTTCAGCATTTTGTCCAGTATTTCCCCTTTAGTCAACGTACTTCATTTTTTCCTTAAAGTTGTCGGCTTCATGAAAATAAATTACATGACCAAGTGTTGCCATTACTCAGTCAGTGGGAATGTCTGTATCTGAACAGGCAGAGAGAACAATACCATGCATTGTCTGTATTTAACAAATATTGCTGTTGGGATTTTTCAAATCTTTTAAAATAATACTTTAGTAATTAAGAAGGAGAATTAAAAAGTAGAAACACATACACATTGTCACCATTTAATGGTGACCTCTAAGACTTTGTAGTGCTAGCCAGTTGGTGACCTCTAAGACTTTGTAGTGCTAGCCAGTGTAATGAGTTAAGAAAGAAAAATACAAGGAGGAGGGAAAACATTATTTTTTGCAGGCCGTATAGTTGTTTGGTTGCAAATCATGTACATAAACGAAAACTGCTAAAAGTGAAACAAATAACAGGAAAATTAATAACATTCTAGGTGTTGAATTTTATCCTCCCTAAATGTATGAGTATGTTAAATGCTTGAGCCCCTGAACCTGTTAATGTGCCCTTACTGGAAAAGAGGATATTTGCAGACAAACTTAGTTCGGTAAACTTGAGCTGGAGCAGAACGGGCCCTTAAAACAGGAAGGTAGGAAGGACGCAGGGTGACAGGAGGCAGAAGTAACGCAGCTGCGGCCAGGGACAGCCTGAGTGCTGGGCACCGAGGGGGCCCAGAGAAACCAAGCGGACCCTCTGCAGGAGTTACCCCTGCATCCGAAAGGTGAGCTGGGAAGTCAGCGTCCTTAGTCTGATGAATGTCGTCCAGAAAGATTACGATGGACATCTCTCTGAATGATACAAAATCAGAAATGAGTCAGTAAAGAACACAGGATGCCTGGTAGTGTAGCCACTATTCAAAGTTATAAAATAACTAAATATAAATATAAAATAAAATAAATAATATATAATAATAAATAACGATAGAATAGAATAATATAAATATAAAATAAATCCTATGCAGTAAATAGTATAATTAAAGTAATAACAGTGATAAAGAAAAAACTGGTATATTTCAAATTATTATCACCTATCTAAAAAATTCTATAAACCAACCACAATATCAAATACGATATTAAAGCTAACAAGAGTCCAGAAAGTAGGCATCCAAGATTAATTTTCTCTCTTGCTCTCATCTCCCTATATATTATTGATTGTATTATTGTATTATTTCTACTACATATATAATGCTACCTCATATGTGTATATATATACATACATACTACTACTACATATATAATAATAATACATATATATAATTACTACTACTGCTAATTCTACTACATTCTACTACTACTACTAATTCTACTGCATATATAATATTAAATATAAAACATACTTTAATATATTATTATATTGATTTATTATTTCTTCAATAAGCCTAAAAGTCATTCAAATAAAAAGACCTAAATAACTATGAGGTATCATATTCCTCTGTATCATTATATAATATTGTAGAGATCTTAATTCTTCTCAGTTTAGCCTAAATAATAAATTAAATTTGAATAAAACTATTAATTGGATTTTGTTTTAATGGAAAAGTATAGTACAAAATTCATAGGGAAGAATAAATGAGAATAGTAAAAATGTTTTGAGGTGTTGAAGTTTTAAACAGATATTTTCTTTCTAATACTAGCTATAACAATATTTAAAAAGTAAATTTGGTTTAAAATGCAGGATTAAGATTTAAGATCTTTTGTTTTAACTTGCTTTGTTTGTTTTGTTTTGCAGCACTAAGGATTAAACCCCAGGCCTTCACACTGAGCTATATCTCCTGTCCTTTAAAAAGTATTTTAAAAAATTTTCACACAAGGTCTTGCTAAGTCACTAGGCTGGGCTTGAACTTTCAATTCTCCTGCTTCATCCTTCCAGAACTCTGGGATTAGTAGTGTGTGCTACCATACCCAGCTGTAAGTAGCAAATTTGCAGGAATGAAGAAATTAATCAAATAGTATGTTGTATACACAGAAATAGAGCTATGCTTATAGGAGAATATGGTATATATTAAATGACATTTGAATTGTAAGAAATTATGACATTTCAACTTTTAACAAATCATGACATTTCAAATCACAGACTATTAAAATAGAATTAATCAAATTGGCATTTAAAAACCATGGTTAGATTCCTATTTCATTTCACACCTTAAAAATTCTAAATATGTTGACTATTTAACTAGAAAGACAAATTATAAATACTTGCAATCATGAAGAAATGAAGAGCAATCTAGTTTCTTATTTAAAAAGTCAAAGTAGTTTAGTCACATTCTCGGTTTTTAGCTATTGGCACAGATGAGGCACAAACTAAAGGGTAAAGTCCCCGATAAGCAGTGAGAGGTACGAAGGTCCCCTGTCCATCTGTACCACGTACAGCCACGACCGTCCTCACAAGCTAACATGAAGAGCCAGTCAGACAACAAGAGCGTTTGGTACAATTTGTATAAAATATCATTGTATGAGCATACACATCCATGCAAATCTTTACAGATGGCACTGAAAGCAGTCACAGGAAAGCATTATTCTGGCACATTGAATTGTAGTGAGGGAGATAAAAGTGGAAACAATAGAAATTAGATAGATCTATTCATGTAAGATATTTCCTTTTTAAACATTATACATTCTCAAAATAATTAGCTTGCATGCTATTAACCTAAATTTTTCTGGATAATTTTTATTTCCCCTATTTTACAGTGACATATTTTCTTTTGTAAATAATCTTTGGTCAATTAACATAATGCTCATTGGATTAGATTTTTTAAAATTAATTTCATTGGTACATATGTACAGTATAATGACATTCATCATTGGAAATTTGCACCTTTACATAATCTCTCTTGGTTCTTATTTTTTCCCCCTTCCCCTGCCCTCCCTTTAACCCACCCCTCCATTCCTCCCTATTTACAAAGACTTTGTTTCAATTTTTCATTTTCTCATGTTAATTACATTAAGGTAGGGAATATAGCTCAGTGGTTCCGCCGTCTGCCCCACACAAGGACCAGAGTTCGATCCCCAGTACCAAAAAAAAAAAAAATTTCATTGGATTAGATTTTGTTCTCTCTCTCTCTCTCTCTCTCTCACACACACACACACACACACACACACACACACCAGTTGACCCTGTCACATAAAATCTATAATAAAACTTGAAATACATTCATTAGTAAAATGTTTTATTATAATCTACTTCAGTAGTTAAAAGCTCTAAATATTGACTGCCTAGTCTATAATAAACAACGGAGTGATAGAAAATGACATGGAAATTATCTTCCAGAATATTTACTTAGGAATGAAACATTCCAATTCTATGCCAGTTACCTCCAGACACCAGAGATTTGAAACTACACGCAGCGTGGACTGGCCCGGTGTCACATTAAGGAACATGGGTTAGAAAGAGAGAAGCAGGTTGTCTTCACAGAAAACCTTCAAAGAACGACACTAGCAGAGTCCATTCATAAATACATAGACTTCTGTTTTGTCTTTCTGTCTATTTCTTACAAATTGCTCCTCATTTTTTTTAACCCTTATACCTTTCTCTTCTTTTTCAAAAAAAAAAAAAGAAAAAACTTGATAAGTATTCCTCTAATCCAGCCTTGTGCTTGTGGCGGTGTGGTTTCTACCTTCTCATTCCCTCTGCTAACTAATGCTGACCTGGTCCAAGTGAAGGAATTCTTAGCTCTCTTGCTTCTCCACTCAGTAGCCAGGGAAAGAAATCAAATCACTTTTTTTTTTAGAAGCCTCCCCTTTCGTTTTGGCCCTCTGATTTCTGAAATTCTTTCCGTGACTCATTTCGTCCCTATATAAAAATGTAGACTTCAAAATCCATAGATGTAACAACTATCCTAGTGAAGAAAAAGGAGATTATCCTGGTGACCAATTGCTCAAGTTTGAATGAGTTAGGTTCAAGTTTATGAATTAGTTTCATAAGCTGCAACTAATTAAAATGATCTTACCACAAAGTGATTAGTGAAATGAGCAAATCTCTTCACTCATGTTGATCATGACAACACTTTTTTGTATTTTCAGTCTGATCAGAGTATTAGCTGGTCAAACTAAAAATTATGATAGCTATAAGAAAGTATAAAACAAGGCCAGAGCAAAAAAGAAAAAGAAAATAAGCTAATCGTACTAACGCTATAGAAATTCCAGTATGCTAGTATTTATTCACTCTAATGCCTAAGTTTCATTATCTTGTATGTACAATGTGTTTAAATGAATATTTCATAGTCATATAGATATACAACTGTCATCCAAATTAAGATGCATTCAATTAATTTTGTAACCAGTATTGAATCTTTTAAGAAAAATTAAATTTCTGGCCTGTTTATTTGTTCTAATTAGCTTATTCATAATAAGAAAGCTTACAGCTCACTTGCCAGCTTGGCTTTCATAAGCTAAATGTAAAAGGAAGTATGAAGTTTAGTGAATGTCATGCACCAAGTATTTACCATTGTTTTACCCCAAATATTTCCTCTGTTTACAGGTCCTTTCAAAGTCTGGAACAAGAGACCATGGAGGTCCTGCTGGCCAAGGAGCGAACCCAAGTCTCAAAGGGTACACTGGGCCCAGGCCAGGGTTCCTTGCTGCTCTCTTCGAGTCAGTGCAGGGAACTGGACAGATCCAAACTGTACTGGTGAACAAATTGTAAATGGTAACCGGACTCCTCCATCCAAATACTCATTCTCACCTATACTTTTGAAAGACAAAGAAGCTGTCTTCTTTCTTTCCAAGTAAATATCTCTTCACTAAGAAGGTTTTGCTTTGTTCTACTTGTCAGTCAAACAGGGCTAAAGCATAAAAGGAGAGACTCTGACATGAAATTCATCTTCTTCTGTTTTGATTGACTTAAATGCACGTACTCCAAAATATTCCTTCACTGATAGTAAACCATTAGTAACAGTATATTCTGGGAATATTCTCCTAGCATAACTTAAAGCTTACAAGGGTCACCATTAGGAACCAAATTATACTTGGAATATTTTGACAGTGGAATAATCTTGAAACAGTTCAATTAAATGACATAATCATAGCTTTTGGAATTCTTCATTTTAAAATTTAAATTAAAAGTAATTTAATTTAAAGAAAAAATAATCCAACTTTCTATCCAGCCAATTTTTTTCTCACAAAAATTGCATGTTTTGTGGGGGTTTTTTGCAACATTTTTATGAGTGGCAGACTTTAACTGAATTTTAACTATGTCATAAAATGTTCTCATATAGTTTTGCAGGCAGCCTGCCTTCCACAGCTCTCTCCAGTCATGAGCTCCAACACAGAGGAATGATATGATGGGAAGAGAGGTCCCTGTCCACCCTGTCCACCAATCTTGTCACTAACCAACTGGGCGACTGAGTCTCCATCATTCCATCTGTGACAAGACTAAAACCGAACGCTTCATCTTTCCAAATCAGTGACGAACAAATATTAACAGTCTTTTATAAACTGTGATTTCTGTATATCAAGATAGACAAAATGTAGTTATAGTCCTCTGAGTTCCTTAGGAAATTAGTATTCAGGTCATCAATAATTAACACTTTGGTACACCATAGATATCTGCATTAAAAATAAATTATAAACTACATGAGTGCTTAACCAGTGAAGAATAATATCATAAATATTGTGCCTGATTTGACCAGTAGAAATGGAGTAGATGATTTTTTTATATATTTTGAGAAAAATTTGTGACACATTTAAATTATACTATTTTTTGAGGTAGCTGTAATTTTTAAACTGGTTTTGTCAAAAATAAATACAGAAGGAAGCCCAGGGCCTCTTGGCTCATGTCTATAATCTTAACACTCAAAGGCTGAGGCAGGAGGACTATGTGAGTTTAAGGCCAGCCTGGACTATATACTTAAAAACTGCCTCAAAATAACCACCAAAAATTAAAAATAAAAATGAATAAATAAGGAAATTAAAGCCACTGATTCCTGTCTGGGAACAGTGTTTTGATTGCAATTCTTTTGCATTCCTGCATGGCAGCTTGCAGCTGAAATCCCAGCAGTCTGGGACTGCAAGCCAGGAGGATCCCAAGTTTGAGCCCAGCCTGGGCAATTTAAACCACTTAGCAAACCTTATCGCAAAATGAACCTAAGAAACGTGGTTACTTGTGGGAAGATTGGAGAACTGACCAAAATGGGAAGGGTCTGTGGGAAGCTCCGGAGAGTTATGTAGTGGGAAATTTGGAAAATGACACATAGCTAAAAGTCAACCTGGATGCATTGCCTTAACTGCCACAGTGATAACAGGTGACACTTTCAACATTCACTGAATCAGAAGAGAGGAGGAAAAAATTGCTTTTTAAGCTCTAAAATGTGATGTTCTGAGGAAAGATTGGAGATATGTGATTCCTGCTGGAATGATAGGAGAGACTAGAAATAGAGCTGCATACTAATATATGTCCATAAAACAATCGAAATCCAATTGTTAGTTTCTGTTCTCAGATCTAACATATGTGGTACAATTTAGGTCAATTGCTTAAGACATTTGTTTAGGCCAACCAAATTGAGTTTTGAGTTTAAAATCTTTATCATCATCCAAATGAATTCATTTGTGTCTTTTGCTCCCATAACCAATGAGAAAGCACTTTGTAATGTATTTTAGCAATATATGAATGTAAGAAATGGATGTTGTAAGACTGAAAAACGTTTGCCAGTAAAAATATATTTTACGTGCTTACAATTTTTGGACATTTGGAAAGTAATTTCTTTCTACCTAATATTATTTGAGAAAATGAGGAGTTCAACTGTGTACGTGGCACTGGTGTATGCTATCTTAGTGACAGAAAGTACCACAGAATGAACTGTCAAGATGCTAAAATACAGGACAGATCAATATTAAGGAGTTCAGACAAGCATTGGATTTTGATCACAGAAATTTGTTCTAGTTGAGATATCCCAGAAAGAAAAATAAAATAAACAAGCAAGAATACATGCTGGTATGAGTAAATGGGTCACCAAGTTTTGCAATTGTCTGCCTTTAGAGTCAGGGAATGTGTTTTTTCTAACTTGGAAATTTGATTCTAACAATGTTGTTTAGACTGCTCTCTATTCAGAAATTTACTGGATTTTTTGAAGCTGAAAATAGATTTCAAAAATATTTACATCTGTACTTTCCAAATTACCTTTAATCTTACTGATGCTCTTAGTTTACTGAAACAGTGTTCTCATGGCACTGTGGTGTCATTTAGCAATTAAAGAAATACTGTTAGGAACTTAATACAAGGGCTGGAAACTCCCTTCACTGTCCCCTTTGGTACTGCAGTTCTACATCAGAAGTATATTTGTTTGCCTCCATGTCTATAGTTCCAGTAACTTCAGAAAAAGCCGAGGACCACGTGCCTTAGTACCTTATCAAGTACTCTCAGGACATAGAAAGGAGCAAACTCACTTTCTGGTTGTTTGGGGATTACTCTTCTCCCAATTTGTTCCTGATATTTCTCATAAGCCACGAGAGCACATAATCGAATTAGTTTCTTGGTGGTGACGTGAAAAATGGTCACTGCACTCATCTTAACTCCATAAGGATAAAGGTCAAGCTAACTCTTAGTAAAATAATTCCTGAGTTTCACTGATGTAAGGGATTCCAGAGGTTGACATTTAAATGTCACTTTCTCTGAATTAATCCATTGACCCAGTGCTAAAATTTCATACTCAAGTTCAATAATTTGGGAACAGTATAAAAATAAAAAAGTTAATTTCTGGTTAAAGAGAAAAGGAAAACACTTAACAAATATCAAAACCTACTCATGAGTCAATTGGAAAAAAAATAAATTTATACAAGGCTCTTCCTATTAAGTTTTGAGCTTATATCTCTGAACAAAAATATTATCAATGTAGTTTTCATTCATTGTAGTTCTTTACTATTTTGCTTTCATTTCATCTTATTAAATTTTCATTAGAATATAGTCTTTGAGAGAATACATATCAATTTTTTGTTGTCATCAAACAATTTTCTTATATTGCTGGGTTTTTAACAGCTAAAGAACATTAGAAGCATACATGGATAATATACTCCATGTAAATAAATAAAATCAATTTAAATTTAACATATAACTCATATTATATTTTTAAATGATTTCTAAAGCCAAATGATTTGTATGAAGTTTCAATCATCAACTTGTTTTAAGATATATATTTTGATTAATTGTTTTGCTCATTTTTAAGATCCAACTTGGTGTCCATTGGGATCCTATAAAATATAATGTGCTATTTACAACAGATCATTAAAGATGAAATAGTGGGCATCTGTTCTTCCTGAACAACCTTAGCAACAACAACAGTAATATTCTGGGCAGACGATAGATGTGAAGTAAAATTTACAATTCACAGGTGTCAGTTTTATAGAGTATTTCTAGTCTGCATTATTTTGCAATTTTATTAATTCTATGGTTATGGCTTGAATGTATTTCATCACCAAACTGTGCCATTTTACCAGTACTAAGTGTTGAGTCTTTGAGAGATCCGGCCTTGAGCACTTCTTCCTCTCTGATTGGGAGACTGGTGGTGTTATGAAAGGGTGAACCCTCCCAGTGTTCTCCTGCCCTCTACAATGAGGCTCAGTATGGTAAGAGGGCGCCTTGACTGTGGACTCTGCAGCCTCTGGAGCCTGAAGTCAGTAAATCTCTGTTCATTCTCAATTAATCGTGGTCAGGCCTTCCGTGATAGCAGTGCAAAACAGACCAACACATCTATTAGGGAAAAAAGGGAGGAAAAACCTTCACATTGTTATAAACTTGAAAAGATTAATTATGAAATGGCTCTTACCATCTAAAACTTACATAATCAAGGACAGCTAAAAATTATCCCGAGTATTTGCAAAGTATATAAATTTTAAGCAGCTGTGCCACGGTTCAGGAAAGAGTACATAATTCAGTAAAATGATTTTTGAATTCTTGACCCAGGAATTGTTCGGTCTACTGGCCTAGATCCATAGGATTATATTATTTCTTCTAATGCAATTGCCTACTTGCAAAAGTTGGATGTCTGTTCACATTACCAAGTTTGCTGAGTGTATTATAGACTTCACAGATCTCTCATGATATACAGTGAAACTAATCAAGGACCAATATCAACACTTCTTTCCAACTTGAAGATAAATCTCTACTTTTAAATGGATTCATTTCCAAATAAAAATGACCTGTACTTATAGAAGCTTTGTTTGCATTTTATCTTTCTTCCCCCTCTCATTTTGCTTTTCCCTCCCTTCTTTTGGAGGGGAGAAGGGTTGAAGGGAGGGAAGAGTAATGGGAAAAAATAAGAATCAAGATATATCATGTATTGGTACAAATTCCCTGTGATGAATGTGATCACTGTATGTATTGAAATTGTACCAATAAAGCCAATTAATTAATATAACCTGTGCTGCCACTTGACACTTGAGTGAAATTTGTCAAAAGCATTCCTATAATTATTGAAGTTGTAATCAAACCTGAATAATTCAACTTACTTACCTTTTACTTCACATGTTTATAATACTTCACAAATAATCAAACAAAGTTTTTTCTGAATTATTGCTAAGTCAATTAATGGATGGCTTGATCAAAAGTTCTATTTTAAAAATGTTTGAATGAGTAGTATGGACTGAAGAACAAATTACTAAAGCATAGAAGCTACTAAAGCATAGGATGTGCATTACTCTATCAGATATTACTGCTCACTCTTATATATTCAAATTAAACATAAAAAACTGAAAGAAGTGTGTATTTTCATCCTTAGAACACATGGACAAAAAAGAGTAGAGAGGACAAGAGTTTTCTTTTTTAGATGATTGTGTAAATAGCAATTGTATTTCAACCCATGTTCAAATTAAGACTTTCCCAAACATTATGGCTAGAAAGAATATGAAGGTAGAGATGCAGTCATGAGAGAGAAAAAAAATCACCATAATCCTTTAGCAGTGTCTGTCTTGAAAATAAGATGGTGAAATAGAAGCATGCAGTGTAAGTATTTCATACCTATTTTACACAGTTACTTGCCAAAGGAATCGGGAGGAATTACAGATGTTGTACCCTTTTCTAGGTTTTATATGAACATTCCAGCTAATCAAAGGAATTATGTTGACTAAAATGCATGCAACTGTAGAAATTATAAAAAGCAGTGAAATTAGGAAACTAATATCTCAAGTATGGAAAAGAGGAAACACACATCCGTGGTTAATGTTTGCCATAGAAAAAGTTTCTTTTTCCTTTCATACTTCTTGTGTCTTTTAACCTTGTTTTTTCTCACTCTGTATTTTTAGAAAGACATAGATTAAATTAGTTGCTTACAATACCTGGAGCGGTGCCAAACGTTGGATCCCAGAATGAGAATTTGGAGTTAGGTCACTTTTAGTTCAATAGTCAATGAGGATTTCATTTCTGCTGTGAAGTAGAGGTAATGACCCCTGATGTGCATTAGCATTAAAGTTACTAATGTTCTAATTTATGGTGGGATGAGGTGTCCATGTAATATGAAGTGGTAGAGCATATAATACAGTAACTTTGAAATATAAATAGTATAGGAACAATGATAATTTAAGTTTTTGTTTGTTTATTTTTTCCATTAAGTTTATTGGTACATTTTAGTTATACAATACATTTACATTCATCATTGGGATCTTGTACCTTTACATGATGTATCTTGGTTCTTGCTTTTTCCCCATTCCCCTGCCCTCCCTTCAACCCCTCCACCCTTTCCTATTTACAATGACTTTGTTTACATTTTTTCTTTTCTCATATTTTTTCTTTTCCCTTCTTTCTTTTCCCCTACACTTCCCACTTCCCCTACTCCTTTAGACATTGGTTCAAATTGTATAATTGAAAATGTTTGCTGATTTTTTGAGCCAGAGTCTCGCTATGTAATTCAGGCTGGTCTTAAATTCACTACATAGCCCAGACTGGCCCCCAACTCTCAGTGATCCTCCTGCCTCAGCCTCCGGAGTGCTGGGGTTACAGTTGTGAACCACCATGCCCAGCTGGTAATTTAAAGTTTTTAACTGCTTTAGAATTTTGAAAAAATTTGACAGGTGCAGATCAGTCACTTTCATTGGAAGAATACTGTGAAAACTTAAGTTTCTGTATTAATGAAGATGTTGAAGGAGAACCTTATTGGAAGTCACAGGTCAAACTATGCTGCAAATCAGCCCGAGGGTGAAAGAGGGGAAACTACAAAGAACATAGTACTTATTTCATTTTAGTTTTAAAAGCAAAGCCTTTGAAGGAAAAGTTTCAAACCTTGGAACTTGAGGTGAGTGCTTTGGGCAGACAATCCTGAGAAACAACGGCACATCCCACTGAGCCTACCAGATGCTGGAGAATGCACTAGAAGAGAGCAACCTCTTCTTGTTTGGAAACACTGCAGATATTTCAGCTGAAGCAGATTTTTAATGTTTGTTGTCATTTAATCTCAATATCTTTATCCACACCACTCATTGTTGATATGCCACTAAATGAAATCAATGTCAGAACAACTTTAGCAGAAAGATGCAGATCTTTATCAGATGGAAATAGAAAACAGCCCCTCCCCCAAAAAACTATAGAACATGGCTAATGGGCCCTTGCAAGAGCTAGAGTAAATAGATTCGAACAGCAATGAAAAATATAGAACTGAAAAGAGAAGAATGAAATGACTTAAGAACACTCACCCTTGATGCCTGGCTCGGTGACCTGGAAGGTACACTTGGAACAATTAAAATATCTTACTGGGTCAATCCCTTTGAAATTTGCACAAAATGACAGCCTAAAGTGCACAAGGCAAAGGTTTGAGAACTGTCCTAGAAGAGTACTGACAAAGAAGTTAGAAAGTTCAGAGAGGAAGCAATGTTTAAATGGATTTGTTACATAAAACCAGGGAATTCCTAACCTCACCATCTAATCCCCACTCTCAGGAACGTTTGCAGAGTCTTCCATTTTGTCTATAGTGAATACATTGATGGTGTGGGAAGAGGGGAGAGAGGATGCAGGCCTCTGTAAAGGTGAAGCTCAGTGGCAGATTCCTGAGCAGGCTGGTCAGGCTGGTGTGAGCAGAGAAGCAGGCATCCTTCTTACAGAATTTTAGAGTGTTGGAGGCCAGGCAGCAGCCTTTAACCATGGGTGATTAGGTAACTGCAGTTGCAATAATGGCCAGCAAGATCAGAGTAGCAATCATCGTACCCTGCCACTTAGGGAACTGTGAAGACAGAGAACACGATGTTCCAAGCTCAGTGGAGAAGATGTTATGTAACTCTCGTAATAAGAAAAAGCACGCTAGCAAGGGGAAGACGGATGTCAGACACAAAATTGGAAAAATACAGTTCTTTTGCCCAGGATCCAGATATAAATCACTGCACAGATTTCATATCCACTCATTTAAATGAAAGCTGGGTCCTTTTGAGGAAGGACTCGACGATACCACAATTAGTATATCACATAAACCTCCCTCTCCTCTTTTCCCAAAGACATGCATGACTATACCATTTACTGAGAAAACAGTAACACTTAGATGCTTTGAGAGCTGTTGGATACAGAATGTAACCTGACACTAGTAACAGGGAGTTTAAAATGCTGTCTTGGAAACCTGGTTGAATGGAGTAATGGAAGCCAGGTGACCCATGATGTAATAAACCTAGATCATCTCGCACTGAATACTGTGAGCGCTCAGTTCTACCCAGTTATCTTTTTCCTTGTCTCTGAATTCATATATCACAGTACCTGTTGGAAGCTTCATTTACATTGGTACACTGACTTGCAATGTCAAAGCAATTAAGGCTGAAAAGTCTACAGCAAAAGTCCTTAAAACAACTTCCCTCTCCTAGAGACCAACATAATATTAAGCAATACCACATCCCAGACTGAATAGGGTAAATTAGT